CCCACGCTGGAGCAGCTCGGGAAGGGCTGCAGCTGTGGGAGGGAATCCAGTCAGAGGAAGTTAGTGACCCATGACGGAGCAGTGTGGGGAACACCGCGGCCCGTGGGAGGAATTCAAGTCGGAGAAAGTTTGTGGAGGACTGTCTGCTGTGAGAGGGGGACCACGATGGAGCAGGAGGAACAAGTTTTGGACACTCCCCTCACCGAAGATGAAGGAAGTGGCAGAGCTGACTGCACCCCCCATTCCCTGCCCCTGCACCGCTGGGGGAGGAGGTAGAGATATTGGGAGCAGAGCTGAGCCCGGGAAGAAGGGAGGGGTGGGGGGAAGGTGTTCTCAAGATGTGGCAATGCTTCTCACTGTCCTACTCTGTTATGTGTTGTTAGTGTCTGTAATAAATGTATGTTCTTTTTTTCTTCCCCTAACGAGTCTGCCTTTTGCTCGTGATCATAAAGGGGGAATTTTTCCCCATCCCAGTCCTATCTTGAACCCCAAGCCTGGCTCTCTGTCCCTTCTCATTGCCGGAGGGGAAGGGAGAGAGGGCTGCTGCGTGGTGGTTGGCTGCCAATCAGGCCTAAACCATGACAAAGATTCAAAGTGCTCATGCATTTGCTAGGGGAGTCTGTTTTTAATTATTTTCATTCAACCCTGATTCTGCAACTCAGTCATGTGTGTCTGAGTTAAATAGGATGCTGGATGTGAACAAATGCTGAATGGATCACTTCGGGCCATAGGATCGTCTAATTCAACTTGAAATGCTTTGAAAAATGTTATGATTTAATGCTTTTTTGTACTGGCCTTGGATGTCATTTAATTTCTACACCCATACACTGAGTGACCTCGGGACTGCAGTATCTCACAAATAGCATGTCCCACAATAGTCTCAAGAAGCATGCTTGCTATAAGACTAAGATAATCTAATTTTTGCACTGTAAATTAGAGCTCCCACAGAGTCAGCTTTGGGCATGGCATGTACAAGTTCTTCCTTGGCTCCTCAGTTTAATCGTACAAATCTCCATCTGGTTCTCCTATAATTCATTTCATCATGAGGTTAGCACTATCTCTGCATCTCAAAGGGACTTTATTGAGTCTTTCATCACCCTTAGCCAAAGCAGCATCACAGATACTGTTGACTCCTATATTGGAAAAAGTTGTTCTACATTCCATCAAATCTTTTCTTCTGTTAGAAGATCCTAAAGCCTGACATGGGGAGTTTGTTTTCCTTCTGCAGTCTCCCAGACAGTTTCAATAATTAGCTTGGTAAGCTGAGGTGTTTAGAGCTAATTTGGTATAGTCATTAAGATGTTAATTCTACCATTTGTTTTGTCCATCAGGATAAACTTGGACTTTATGGTCTTTGAGTGTGACAATAAGCAATCAAGTCAGGACTTTAGATGGGAAAATACAGTATCTGTTTTAAATGCACACAAGATAGGCAATATTTGAAAAGCTAATACTGATTTATTTGTACTTAATCCTACTATGCTGTAATTAGGGTAAAATTTCCATTAGTTTCTAGGAGCAAAATGACTGTCATGGAGCATTATTGGGTCTGTCTCTAAGCTTGAATTCCAATAAGTTTTCAGTGGAGATCTTTTGGTATGTGACAACTAAAAATTAAACATTCTGTCTTTGTTATGAGTATGTTTTATCAGCTGTGTGCTGATGACATTTCAGATGGGTTGCTTAGGGAACTCTTACACATACAAACAACTCCTCAGTATAAATATCTATTCAAATTAAATACAGGAAGCAAATATTAGGTGTACATGTTTTACTCATTTCTGTATCCTATCAATACCTCATGCAATGTGATCTTTACCTAGAAAAGTAAAATCACTATGGCTAATAACAATTTCAGAGTATTTGATAATATATATTCTTTGGTGTGATAGATGAATGTCAAAGAAAGCATAACCTCTTTCTAATCAATTCCACTTACAAAAAAGACTTATTAATAAATTTGTCAAAATTAACTATGTATAAATGCTATATTAAAAAGTATGTGCATATATGTTGAAAAGCAAATCCCTTCATTTTGATATGAAAGAATCTTTTCCTTCATAGCATCTATGCTCAATCCTGTACTTTGCTGGTTTAGATTCCATGTCTCTCGCTCCTCATTGTGAGCGTTGGCACTTTCCATTTCCTTAGCTGCCAGCTGTGGCTAATGTCTTCATTAGTGATCTGGATGATGGGGCAGCGTCTACCCTCAGCAAGTCTGCATCTGACTCAAAACTGGAAGGAGTGGCTGATATACCAGTGTCATGCTGTCATCCAGAGGGACCTTGACAGTCTGGAGAAATGGTCTGACGGGAACCTCATGCAGTTCAACAAGGAAAAGTGCATAGTCCTGCACTAATAGAGGATGGGGCCCACCCAGCTGGGAAGCAGCTTTGCAGAAAAAGGACCTGGGGCTCCTGGTGAACACCAAGTTGAATATGAGCCTGCAACGTGCCCTTGCAGTGACAGGGAAATGGTGTCATGGGCTACATTGAGGGCTGTTGCCAGTAGGGCGAGGGGGTGATTCTTCCCCTCTGCTCAGCCCTGTTAAGGCCACACCTGGAGTGCTGTGTCCAGGTCGGGGCTCCCCAGTATGAGTCAGACATGGACATACATTCAAACATGAGGAAACACTTTTTTTTTTTTTTTTTTTTTTTTTTTTTTTACGGTGAGGGTGATTGAGCACTGGCACAGGTTGCTCAGGGAGGTTGTGGAGTCTCCCTCCTTGGAGATACTAAGAATCTGTCTGGATGTAGTCCTGGGCAACCAGCTCTAGGTGGCCCCACTTGAGCAGGAGCTTGAACCGGATGACTTCCAGAGGTCCATGCCAACCTCAACCATTCCATGATTCTACAAATCTGGAGTGGGAGCTGCTATCTAGGGAACAACTGTTTCTTTGATTTTGGTTCTCCTTTCTTCCCTTCTGCTCCTTTCCACCTTGGTAAAATATAGTTTTTCTGACCAGCTGGCCATTCTCATAAGAAAATGATATTGCTTCTACATGAGAGGTTGTATGATTATTGATAGGTTTTTAGTATCAACTAAGGACAATTTCTTATCGTTCTGAGAATTTTTAAGCAACTTGACAGGAACCTAAATCTTTATCTAGTAAAAGAAGGGGCCAAATTCTGTTTCCTAAGACTATTGTAATGTATCATTCTTCCTTCTCATATTCTTTTTATCGTAAGTGAATGGCTTACAGATTCCTGAGCCAGGATATCTGATTAAAAGACCTATTTATGTACATTTAAAAGAATTCAAGCTTTCACCAAATACAACAGCTGTAGTATTTTATAAAAGATAAGGAATGCAATGACATCTTGTCATCATTTGGGCTTGTTCTTAGAGTAACCTCTGTCAAATATATATAGGTATATCTCAACGATGAACAAACATTTTTGTCAACATCTGACTTATGTTTTGACCTCTGAGCTTTGAATTGCTTATTAGAAGGAAACAAGTTCATAGGGCTTGAGTCCCTTATGGTGTCGTCTGTATCATCATTGCCAGCCTTGACAATTTTTGTAGCACTTAGCTGTGCTTGGAAATAAACCAATAAAGAAATGGCCTCTCAAGTAGACCTGCACAGATCATTAGAAAATTCAGGATTGGGATTAGAAATCCATTGTTAGAAAATATCTCATTGTGAAAGCTAAAGGCTAGTGGTAGGGACACTGATGCAATCATCTAGAAGGCAGGTGGAGTAAACATGGAAGGTGTGGTTTTAACGCTGGGAGTGCACGTGACTCCTGTGGTGGTGACTGCAGTAGTATGAAGTGAAATCATAGAATCACCAGGTAGTTTGAGTTGGAAGAGACATTAAAGGTGATCTAGTTCCAGCCCTGCAGCCATGGGCAGGGACACCTTCCACTAGACCAAGTTACCCCCAGCCCTGTCCAACCTGGCCTTGAACCCTTCCAGGGAGAGGGCAGCCACAGCTGCTCTGGGCACCCTGGGCCAGCGCCTCACCCCCCCACAGGGAAGAATTTCTGCCTTAGATCTCATGTAAATCTGCCCTCTTTCAATTTCAAACTGTTACCCCCTCATCCTACCCCCACACCCCCTCATTCAGAGTCCCTCCCCATTTTCCTGCCCCCCCTTTAAGCCCTGGGAGGCCGCTCGAAGGGCTCCCCGGAGCCTTCTCTTCTCCAGGCTGAACCCCCCCAACTCTCTCAGCCCGGCCCCCCAGGGGAGCTGCTCCAGCCCCCCCAGCATCTTTGTGGCCTCCTCTGGCCCCGCTCGAGCAGCTCCGTGTCCTTCTGCTGTTGGGGGCCCCCGAGCTGGCCCCAGCACTGCAGGGGGGTCTCGTAAGAGAAAAAAAATCAAGAAAGGCCCATGGCAAAGAGTGTACAGGAGTGGGGGAGAGTGACATTGTAGATACAGAACAGAGGAGGTTAAAAGCAAGACCTGGAGTGTGACAGATGAAGAGTCTTCAGTGTTGGGAACAGCTGGGTCTGCTCCCTCTTCACTCCGGTGACATACTGCATGTCTCCAGGTAGTTTAACTAAGAAAGGGTTTCCTCCTCTGCCATCTTGCATAACTCAAGATTAAGGCAAAGAGCTTCAAGAATAAGAGAAAGATGTCTTCTAGACACCTGTTTGCTGCTGCTTTGAGCTTCATCCGTACCTTCAGACCTGTTTCTGAGCCTTTAAGAGTTCATGCAGCATTTGATTTTTTCTTTTTTTTCCTGTGGTTACATGGACATTGCCACCTAAATTCATGCTTTGTGTAGGTGCTGGAAGTTGCCCATAGTAAGAATGGGCAAAGAAATAGAGATTGTTTGCTTATAATGGTTTTCTTCAATATGTGTATGTGTGATACACATTCATTTTTTTGCTGATCTTTCCTTTCTTCCTCAGAGTCCTGGATATGTGTTCCTACTTTTGGGGTCTATACGCGCAGTGTCCTTGGCAGCAGGAGACAAAGGACCATGGACTCTATTCCTATGGATACAGCTGGGGAAAAATAATCTGGTTTTTAAATCATGAGGCACACATACATTCAAGGTTCAAACATACATGTGTATTATCCACTTTGGAGATACTGATTACTGGTAGAATGACTAAAAATCCAGGAGGTAGATGTAGTGATGCTCGTCTAGGGATGATTAAAAAATTGCTTTTGTGTTTTGAGTCTGTCTTTTCAGGTAGAATAACCTATATATATAATTGTTCTGATTTTTGCTGAATGTGTGAAAAGGGACTTAACCTTGAAACCTCCATTTTTAGCGTGGTATTTTGGCTGTGCTGGAAGCTGGTGCTGTGCTGCCCTTGTGGGCAAACCCAAGTTTTGGTGCCTCACTGGATTAACCAGTTCTGTTTTAGTGTGGCCATTTGCATGCCATTGGTGCAGATTTTGCAGTGCTGGTTAGACAATACTGTAGTCTGTGGTGAATATGACCCTTAAAAAAAAAAAAAAATGAGCCCCAGACAAACAAGAAAACCCCAAACCAGCAAGAACCCACAACTCTTCTTAAAAGGTAGGTCAGTTTTGCTAAAAACACCTGTTCAATATCAATCTCCCTGATGTTCTTCTCCCTGAAAAAAAATCCTGTTTATGATAGCATTAACCCCATGAAAAAAAAAAACATTGTCCATTTAATTTTAAGAGGGGAAAATCCAAGCTGCCAGCTTCAAAGCTCTCTACTTTGATTGATATACACATGGGGCAGTTTGAAATACGCACTTGAGAAACTAAGGAAAGACAGAAGCTGTATTGTGTTCCCAGTTTGGCTTAGCACTTTGGGTTTAACATTAGACATTGGCAGATGGTCTGAAAAATTCGGCATTTGCACAAAGCACAGTAGTTACAACATGAATTCAAGTGTGGTTTGCAGGTTTTGAAGTTTGGCACACAGTCAGCAGCTGGTGTGGGCCTTGGTTTCAGAGCATTTTTCTAGAAGAAAAAACATGAAGATCAGTATAAATATAAAATGAATATGGCTCAGAGTGAAGCATAATTGCAAAGAAAGTGAACCATGGGAGCTTCTGGCTTGAGATGAGTAGGTGGCTGCTAGCAGTGAGACCTGTATTAGTGCCAGTATAAAGATGTGGTGGGACTGGATCATGGGAAATGGTGGCTTGAGACCGACCTACTGAGCAAAATGGTAAACCTCATGAGCCCTATATTTTGAGCAATGAGAAACATGATTGGATAGAACACTGGAAAATGCTCTGTATGGAAAAATATGGTAGCAGTGAAGAAAGAGATGCAAGAATCTGCAAAGACAATGATGTTATCAGTAAAACAAAGTAAGGAATTACTCCTGGGTCCCTGAACTTTTCACATGAAAGAGTGAAACCTCCCTGTCAATCTGCGGGGCTGGTAGCCACTTTGTTTCCTGAGCTGCGAGGCTGAGAGAGAGGGGAGATGACTCGGCAGTGCTCAACCTCACATGGTTGGTTTGTCAAGCTGCCTCTGGAGCTTGGTAAACCTTTGTGCATTGGGTTTGTACCTGGGAATCCTTAACTCCAGACACAGGTAAGCAAGCTGAAAAAGACCTCTTAGGCTACCCAAGGAGTGCTGCTTCGCTGTCTGTGATTTGGAAAGGTGGAAAACTTTGGGTTCATGAACATATGTCTGGGACCTGGGAGGAATCTCGAGCCCTCCAGCTGCAGGCACCCTATGCACTTTTTTAACTTGATAGTTTCTCAAGAGTTTCAATTTTAAGGTAAAATGTTCTTGGTCTTTAAGTGCCTTAGGAGCTTTTAAGCTGAAAAACTTTGACAATTTTTTTTTGCAAGAATGTCCAGGTTTGAGCTGAAGGCGGAACTAAATGATGTGCTAAGGCCCCTTCCAACCTCTGTCATCCTGTGAATTTAGGGTGTTTCAAGGAGGGTTAACCACACAAGAGATCAATTTAAAAGGAAAAGAAGGAGCTCGTAAATGTTTCTCATTGCAGCAATGACTGGTTTGGCTATAAATAGCTATCATGACATACTGAAAATAAAGTAAAAATGCTATTTTCTGCTCTTCTAGAAAATCTTTAAAACATAAGTCCAGCCCATGTAAAACTTCACATTTGAGACCTATGAGTAACTTCACATATAAGGAAATCTATCAGTCTGAATCTACTGATCTGATAAAATTACTAGTTGACATTTTCAAGAAAATACCAACTTCTGTGTGTGCCTCTAATTTTTTGGCACCTGCAGTTAAAAATTAGCAGGTAGTGAGTTTGTGCCCCTGGGCTGCAGAGCCTGTACAGTTAACCCACACAGTGTGACTGGGAATGATACCTGTTTGTGGTGGATGCCTAAATAATTTTACAAATACTTAAACCAGCTCAAGGTTAAAGTACATTTTGTGTAAGAGAGGACTGTAAAAAACAACAGCAAAATCAAAACAAACAAGACACCCAAACCCAAATAGCCTCTGGCTAATCTACGATCACAGTTTTCTTTCTACCATTAATGTTCTGCGTCTTTTTAAAAAGTATTTCGAGCTTCAAACGGTATGTAAATTATTTAAATAAGTAAATGTCTGTAAAAGCCTTGCAAATTGATTCACTGAGGGAAACTATAGAAGTAATAAACTGTTCTAATTCAACAATATTTTCTGAACAGCCACCTACCTTGGAAGCTTTCCTGTTCTCTGCCTCTTTCCTGCTGACTTTCTGGGATCTTTTAGTTAAATCTTCAAAAAGAATAGCACAACATAATATTAAATCAATTTTACAGCATATGCTATTTAATTGAGATGCTGAATACTATTTCTGTGCAAGAGAAGGCAGATAACCTGCATTGCCACCTCATCACTGCATCTTTTATGGTGAAGATATTCATTTCTAGGTGCTGTCCTCACACACAGCATGTTTGAAATCATGCCATCACTGCAGCTTGTGCAAAGCAGAAGAGCACTGATGTTTGTATTTTAGAAGGGCTTTTTTACACATTGTTTAGTCAGATGCGAACAAGGAAAATAGTTTCAGAGTAATAAAATTGAAGGTCTTTGCGTAAAAGATGGGAGTACATATGCACATTAAGCACATGAACAAAATAGGAAAAACCTTTAGAATCTCTTTTTTTTTTTTTTTTTTTTTTTTTCTGTCAAAAGGTGGTGTTACCTGCATAGTTTTGTCAGGAATTAACAAGTGTATGCTGGTTTTCACAAACAAAAACCTCTTTGCTGATTTGGCATGGACTCTTCATCTGTATGATGCCACGTTTAATTCTTCAGTTCAGCAAGTTCAACAAGTAACAAAATGTTACTTGCAAAGGTGTTTCATCAATGTGCCTGTAGCTTTGAAAGATTCATGAATATTTGTAGAGTTAAATCTTGGATCTGGTAAATTTAGAGGGTGGTGTTCTGACTATGCCTGATGTAACTTTTTTTTTTTCTTTAGATCAAATCACTAGTATTTGTGAACTTCCTCATAGCCCCATTAAGCATTTACTGCCATTGCTGTTGTTATTATCATCATATCAGCTCTAATGCTATTTATTACTATATAAACTCCATGACAGTGACTTGTTTTGGGATATAACACAGCAAGACTGTTAAAGTGTGAGACACTTCTCAGCTCACTAATCTGTTACTGTATTTTTGATACCTTTATTCTGTGTGTGTGAGGTTTGTAATAAGCACTGCCTGTATGTAATGAATGATTTTCATTAGACAAGTGGACTACAGAAGAGGTGAGTGTTACGCCGGCATCTGCTCTCTTGAATTATTCTTACGTTTTCAGCATCAAATGTTCACTATGTTTGTATGCATTCAGGAGAAGAATGAATGTAAAGCAGCACAGTTGGGCTTCTCTGCAGAGTGCTGAGGATACATGGATGCTCTGCTTCTGTGGGAGAAGTCTCTTTCAGATAATCAAACAGGACAGAGAAGGAGGAAGGATTTTTGTGAGGCATCGCAGAACCTTCCAAAGCAAAAGAACCTGACAGCATTAGGGTTTTTTTGTGATCTTGGATGTCTGTTAGGCTATGTCATGCCATATTGCTTGCTATCTGCCATGTTTAACACATGGGCACATTTTTCTGAGAATGTAGAAGAATCAACTGAAGGGAATGTATTTTATATCTCTGATTTTAATTGAAATAAAAAAAAATATTGGAAGTGTGTGACTGAAGGCATCTAGGATCACATGGACCATGAAATGATATGGTTTAGGAGGCTGCAGGACAGCACAGCTTTAATAAACTTGCATTTAAACAACATTAACTTAATTCAGGATTCAGAGGTTCAGATTTCATTGGAAATTTTAAAATTGGCTTAAATTACTTTGAAAGAGTTAAGGAAGACACTGGGAAAAAAATTTGTGAAGAGTTAAGCATTGCCCTAACAAGGTTCTTCCCTAACAGGACAGATAGTCACCTGCCGGTAACAGCAGGGACATGGCTGGTTTTGTCTTGGATAAATAGATGACCCCTGGCTCTCCCTTGCAGTGCTCTTATTTTCCCCTGGTTGAAGATCACTTGGCACACAGGTAAACTGAAGTTATATTAATATCTGAGAAAACTGTTGGTTTCTTTGCTACAAGAGCACATCCTAAAAAAAAAAAATGTTATGTTCACTTTTTCTGTTTGCACTAGTCTCTCAGAGGAAGATTAATGCCCTCATTAATGGAAAAACACTTCTCTTCAATATAAGACTTACAGTACGATAGGACCTGAAGTGAAATCTGTAAAACTAAAATAAGTTGTCTAATTTTAAAATTTTTTTTAAACTCTAAACTGTGGTTTGCCATATTGCCATTCTTGGATGCTGTGGCTGCATTGCCACTGTGGTTCTGCATACTACTAAGGCATTTGTATGAAATTGCAAAGTTGCAGTAAACTATCAAAATAATCCATGTTAATTGACAATTGTATTTTCTGCAAATCTTCTTAATCTGGCACTGAATGGCAGATTTTACTAACCTACTATGGAGATGGGTGGAAGATCTGAGAGATTCATTTTGTTGCTCCTTGACAGGTTGCATTCTGTCTTCTCTTCAATTACCAGATGAGAATTGGCAGCTCTGAGCAAACTGTAGCAGAGCAGTAGGCTTAGGAAAAGGTTCTTACTTTCCATCCTGGGGAGGAGAAATTCCATTGTCATGAAAACCAAAGCTGGTCAAAACCTGCATATAGAAAAGATGCAAGAATATGAATCTCAGCAATGGTTTTCTGTCATGTTACACAGCTTTAACAATATATCTTTGACTATTCTTTTGTTTCCAGCACTTTTCCTTTGATACCAGAATACCTAAGATTGCAGTTGTTTAAGTTGAAAAATACTATCTCAACTATAACTCTCTTAGATGGTCTTTTTTTCTTTTTTCTTCATTCTTTCCTCAAAAGGTATATTTTCCCCAAAACTGTGAGTGAGTTCTCTCCACTGAGTTTTATGATGTTGTTTATTGTATGACCAAGGGGAGAGGAACTTCTGCTGTCACATTTGACCAGATCAATCACATCATCAGATTTTTCCCAGAAAATATTGTTTACAAATTTGTTCTAGAAAACCTAGAAAAATAACGATAATTTAATACCCCATAAATTATGTTTCCTATTGTTTTCTCTATTTAAAAATAAGTAATGAAGAAATCATCTTGTTTTATTATATCCTGAGGTACAGTGATGTACAGCTCTGATCCTACAGTGAGTGATAGCCGTAACTTATGCAAGTTATAAAAGGAAGAGTGCTCTAAAGCATTTATGGGTCTCAGGGTTTAGTATGTACTTAATAAGTTCTAAGATGTAACAAAGTCTATGGAATTTGAGCATGCTTATGGAGAAGCCTGAGCTTTGCAGAATGTGGCCATACATCTTGGAAAAAAGCCACTGGCCCTGGTCAACCTCTGCATGATGCAGTGCAGCTACACAGGGTACACAGAGCATTTCACCATCCTCATATCCTTTTCTTGTAGATTCTTAACACTCTCGAAGTTCACAGTTATTTTTATTTCCATTAGTTTTATGCTGTGTCAGAGTTACGGGAACCTTCCCCCAAAGGCACCTCCAGCCTCCAGATTTATGGGTAGCTTTTTGTCAGTGACAAACTACTAGTAGTCGTAAAAAGAGGAAGTGAAACCAAATGTTTTGAGCAATTAATCTGGTTGTAATGACTTAATTACTAGAGAGTTAAAAGATAAAGGGTTTCTGCATTGGAAGGGCTTCAGTCTAATCACTGTTGTTAAACTGAGTCTGTATTACACTTGCTTTTGTAGCCTCCACTGACCCACTCTTGACGTGGAAGTCTCGGACACAACACGCACCATCAGTGTGATCAAGTTAATGCCACTTCATTAAAGGACACACAGCAATTTATACACTAGCACAAAGCACACACGTTACGTTTTGGTTGCTAATAGGTTAAAGCTGCTTGTTCACACGCCTTGCTCTGCCGTACCTACATTCTGTTTCTCCCTCTTGTTATCTTGTTTCTTACATTCTATTCTCCTTACCTCTTTGCAACATAGGCAGTTTCTCAAAACCCCATTTTCATTATCTCTTTCGACCTTGCATATGTCCTTCACAACAGCTGCAGTTGTGAGGCCCCTCGGTCTGGATCGCTCACAAAGTGCCTATTTTCTCCCAGCCACTCCGCACACTCTTCCTTGTGAGATGTTGAATATTATGCCTCCGATTCCAAGTGCGTGGGCTCATTTCTAAAATAGTTTGCTCTAAAGGCCATGCTGATGTAACAGAACAGTGTTGAGTACATTGACACTGCTTTCAGTGCTGGTTACAGCTGTGCTGTGAGGGTATGCACCCACATCTATTAGGACTCTTTTCCTGCTGTATCCTTTGTGATTTAGACATCTGCATGAGCTGCAACAAAACCAGATATATCTGAGCTTGCAGTTTTACAGTAGGGCAGATTAACCTATAGGGAACCAAGTGCTTATATGTCTGTATTTCAAATGATATGCAGCTGGTGTAGTTCAAAGCTAGTATAAAAATTGAGACTGGATCATAGTCATGACTGAGGATAGACATAACCTTCAAATGAGTTGATTAAAATTTTGTAATACAATATGGAAGGAGTCTTTAAATTGATGACAAATCGCCTACTAGAAGAGAAAGTACATCTTCTTTAGAAGAAAATTAAATTTGCGATAAACAAAAGGAACAAGTACTGCCATAAAAATTTATTGTGATGGTAAAATTGTGGGCTTGAATTTTCAGCTATTGCAATTTAGTAAAGAATCAAGATGGCATATCTGTTTTAATTTTTTACATACTGTGGTCTTGCAAATTCTTATACAGAAGTTCAGCCTTTGCCTATGGTAGTTGCCTATGAATAATGGGAAGTACATGAAAATATTTGCTAGGTCAGGAATCTATCCTGATTTTTTTTTTTTTAATGCAATAGAGGTGCCCTTTTATAGTTTTTTTCCCATCTCCTTTCACAAAAGATGCCCAAACCTGACTGAGATTTCTTGATGTTTTCTAAAGACTATTCTAACACATTATATGATTATTAATCATATATTAGAATAGTCTTTAGAAAGCATCAAGATTATTATAATCATATAATGGTCATAATGATTCAGGTCAAAATTAAAACTTCTTTTTATGTAACTAATTTTAACAAATCAAGTATCTCTGGTGATGTTCATACTCTAAGGATATGCTTAAAATTCAAAAAAGAGCTGAATAATGGCTTGTGTTTCCACAAGTGAGTCTACATTTTCCAAACATGCAGTCAGTCAAATAAAATATATTGCTTAAAAAATCTTAGCTTGCTTAACATTTAAGTATGCTGATTTTTGCAGGATCTAGGCATACAGGGAAGGAAGAAATTTTTTACGATGAGGGTGCTGAAACACTGACACAGGTTGCCCATAGAGGTGGTAGATGCCCATCCCTGGAAACATCCAAGGTCAGGCTGGATGGGGCTCTGAGCAACCTGAGCCAGTTGAAGATGTCCCTGCCCATGGCAGGGTTAGACTAGATGGCCTTTAAAGGTCCCTTCCCACCCAAACTGTTCTATGATTCTATGATACAGGACATGTATATGACAGGTAGATGTAAACATTTGGGCTCTAATTCTTTCCATGCTCTGAGCTGGAGTGAAGAGAGCGAGGTGTGAGATGGCAGCTGTTTAGATTTGTGCATAGTGGTGTTCATACTATAGATTTTGCCTTTTTAAGCAACTTTTTAGCCTGGTTGCAAGATATGCTCTATAACATATCTTTGATTTTCAGATTAGTATGTGCTGCCCATCTGCACAGGTGGCACATAATTGTCTGCTGGAGACCATGTCAACATGCCCCCAAAGTACTGTTTAAATAAACTTATTCCATCCCAAAATGTTGTTTCTATTGTACTTCCTTGTCGTTATCTCAACAGAACTGCCAATGACTACAATTGTGCCTGCACAAATGTAATAAAATAGTAAAATTTTACAGCTTGCATCTGTTCACTTCAAACAGAGTGACATCTGAACATGCTCTGGTGTTAAAATGCAAACCTAGCTGCATGTGTTGATTTGAATTGTTGTGCACATGTTTTTTGTTTGCCAAAAGCACCTACGTGGTAGGAATTTTTCAGCCTTCACGTGATTGCTTGAACCTGGAAAATGTATATATTGATGAATATGCATTTGATCTGAAAGCTGTACCAACTGGCTACAGAGGTAACACTCATTAGAGCAGCATAGTCTGCTACATGTGTGCAGCGGAGTTCATGAAAAGGTGAAAGAGATGAAAAGTGGAATCAGAAGTCAAGATGAGAAAAAAGATGCTTCTAACTTTGGGTTTCATTTTTTGCAACATATCACAAAGCTTTGACCAAGTTTGTTTTTATTTTTTGTTGTTGGCATTAAAGAGAGGTTTACTTCCTAATTCTCCTCATTATTTTCTTAATTTTCTTTCTGGGACTCATCAGGGGCTGTCTAAGGCAATTTTCCTTAAAGTAATTTTCCTTAGCTCCAGCAAGATTCACATCTGCTTTTTGATGAACACTTATTTTTAAAAGAGTTTATTTTCCTATCAAGCTCCTAAAAGTGGAGAAGTAAATTGCTTTAATATTAGTATCTTTAGAGGGTGACTATTTTTTTGCTTTAACGAAACTAAAATGTATTAGGAGGACTTTAATGTATTATTTTTTTTAACTGTTGTTTATGGGGACTTAGTTTTCACAGCACTGAACTCTAACCACTGAACTTTAGCCACAGTTTAGCAAATTATGTAAGTAAATAGTTAACATATGGCAGTGCCCTTTGTTGTCAAGAGAGTGACAAAAGTACATTTAAAAACAAAACAAAAGCAAGCATTTAAAAGTTTGTTGACTGTCATCAGAGCTCACAGTACCCTCCTCTATGCCATTTTCTCTGGGCTATGTCTTACTATATTTAATATGTAAATAAGGTATTTTAATATTTACCCCAATTGTTAGCTGTCACAAGCATTTTTCCTGAATGTAAATTTGGAAGATGAAAGATGATGTGAAACAACTTTTTTCTCTTTATAATCTATTTTTTGGGACATATTAAAAGTCTTCATGAAGAAATTTGATTTCCCCAGAAACACCCTGTACATTCAGCACTTTTGAGGGGAACTAATTTCCTGTCACAGCTGATTTCACTCTATTTAGAGATTTATCCTCATACAACAACAGAATGAACAGTTGAGACATTCATACATGAAGTCTGCCATAAACACTGAAAAAGACAAGTTGAAATTTTCTTAGGAGGTCTGACAAATTTGGGTCAACTCATAAATAAACCAACATCATTATTAATAGCTGAAAACAGCTGCTTAGAAAAATAAAATGTCAAAGTACATGCACAAGGAAATATAAAATACTGAAAAATGTGTTATATCACTCGGTAACTCGCAGACAAATCACCTATGCTCTGCTGCTGTGCTCCCATTTTGAAAAGGATAAGACAGAAAAAGAGGGAATGCAAGGGAAAAAGCAATAATTAGTGGATGCTTTGAAAGATGTTAAGATTTTAACATGAAGGGAGTCTGAAAAAGTTAGGAAATTAAATGTAATACGAAGGTTAATAGGATGACCTGTGAGGTTCTGAGTGATTATTTCACAGTCATCTAGAGCCATGCTATCCAGTCTCCAGAGCAATCCCATCTCAACCATCAGGTTTCAGCAAAGGAATAGCAACAAAAAAGGA